TATATATATATATATATATACTAATAATTATACTGGTTGGTGAAAAAACCCGGATGACACAATTTGCAAGTATATCAAGGCAAATTAATACCTGAGAAAAAAAAAATTTAAAAAAAAAGAAAGAAAGAACTAGTAACATCCGAACAGGGCGACAAAATCATCCAGCGCCTTAAACTTCCAGTCCAAAGAAAAAAAAACCCAAGCGAGTAACTAAGATAAAACGTAGTGTACTTAATACGCTACGTAGATCAAAAGGAGTAAAATATTTATTTTACATATACATACATACATACATATATATATATATATATATATATATATATATATATATATATATATATGAAACTTTCTCCGAAATAACTAGTAGAGAAGATAATATTTATGAATAAGAGAGTGCCGCCATAGAATATTATCCAAATATTAATCTACGCCCAGGCTTTTCCCTATTTCACCTTTCTTAACAAAATTACTACTCTCACAAACAAATGTACACAACAGATTCATAAAATCAAAAGAAAATGGTTGAATACACCAACACAGATATAATGACAATATTCTCCACACGTGACAAATACTGACGTTATTTTCAGTTAAAAATATGAAAATAGCGTTTCTCTACATTCCAGTTGCTAGGAACATTCTGTTTTTTGTTTCTATTAGTTAACTTGTTCAATTAAATTCATTTCGTATTTTGCTTTGATAAAGTCCACATTGGACGAAACGCGTCAGCAATTACTAGGTTTCCTATTGTCATTTTTATTCATATATACGCACACACACACACACACATATATATATATATATATATATATATATATATATATATGCGCTCGCGCGTCTGTGTATGTGTGTGTGTGCGTGTGTGTGTACACATACATAATATTGCGTCTGTAACACATTTCTGTATCGCAATTGTTAAGTACTGTTCTTAAGGTGAGGCAGAAGTTTAAATTATTCAGTAGCGAATAGAATGTTATTTGTTTAGATCAATATACAGGAAGTATTGAAAGAAAAATACAAGACATGTGTTAATAGTTTCGATGTCTCAACATTCGAATGAATATTCTTAGAATGACATAAATCATAATTATTCAATGACGAATAGAATTTTCTTGACTTCACGATGTATTGAAAATGAACAAGAGAATACAGGCCAACATCATTTTTTAATATCTCAAACGCAGCTTTTCCAATTCGATCTATCATATCTCGAATAGGCAGTGCTCCCCGTAGACTGGTGAAAGGAAAAATGCTTAGCACCACTTCTTGGGACACTTTGCTCTACACATATTAAACATTTAGACAACTCTGCAAAACTATCAGATAAACTCATAGCTTATTTAGATGTCAAATCTCTTTATAACAATGTTCCTATCAAAGGTTTGCATTTAAAGTAAAACTGAAACAATCAAAAATTAACTTTCCTTACTAATAAATTAAAATATAAGTACGATGTTAGTTTATCATTGCTAAAATATTTAACTTTTTGATGGCACCTACGTACTATACATATATAGTATATATATATATATATATATATATATATATATATATATATATATATATATATATATATATTTCAATTGTAGGTGCAATTTAATTTATAATTACATGAATCATTCATACAAAAAACAAAATATAGAGGTTAATGATTTAAATGGCGAGAATACATCTTCGCAAACAATTTCAATAAGATACACTAATCGATCCTGTATATGAATGATATGATCCCTGTTTATAAATTCAGTTGCATAAGATCTTTTAATTTTTACAAGCTTAAAAATTAAAAAGACCTTATGTAACTGGAATGTATAAACAAGATTATATCATTCATATACAGGTTCGTGTATCTTAATGATTCATATATATATATATATATATATATATATATATATATATATATATATATATATATATATTTCAATTCTCGGTAGTGGATGCGCACTGCTAATGAGTCCCAAATATAGGACGAAACGGCTGTCCAGTGATTTCTTCATTCTGTTGAGGTTTCTTCTAGACTCGATGAGTTACTTAACTATAATTATCTCAAATCCTCCTAATTTCTATCACTTACACACACACACACACACACACACACACACACACACACACACACACACACATATATATATATATATATATATATATATATATATATATATATATATATATATATATATATATATATAATATATGAAATTAAATAAATTACAAACATTATTTTTATTAAAAATCCGTTCATATTCAAGGATAACCTTCCGTGTATTGCAATTAAATGATGTGAGAAATGTGCTATGAAAATCATTTTTATTTTCCATTTCCTATGTACTTTCGATCTTCTTCTGAGTTCATCTTCAGGGATGTACGTAGTAATATGAAACTGTCTGTTGCTCTCACGGGTGCAAGTAGTAATACAAAACTGCTTTTTCATATCCATTGCTGTAATTTTTCTTTTTGCTTTTAAATGCAACGGTTGATAGTCATGCTTAGCATTCATTAAAACGTGAAAAATTATGGAATTTTTTCTTGTGTTGTAATGTCATAGTCATGCGTGCAATAAAAGAGAATTTGCTGCCTAAATACACACACACACACATATGTATATATATATATCAAATATGTGGTGCAGTTCAATTTATATTACAAGGAATCATTCATACAAAAAAGTAAATTAGTAAAGTTAATGATATAAAATGGCGAAATCCCTTCGCTAACAATTTAAAAGATGCATTAACCTACGAATCACTCGATGAATGTCATGATACTTGTTTTTTTTTTTTAATTATAAACTGTATAAGGTCTTTCTTTAATACGCAAGTACTTTCGACTGTACATTCAGTCATCATCAGGCATGGAAATTATTTTGTTTTTGATAAAATTCAGGTATCATCCGAGACGAAAAAATATAATCCGAATCGAAATATGTTTTTTTTTAATGAATTATTGATAACGGATACCAACTTGTGAAGCGTGCAGTCAATAAGTCTAGATATGATAGCGAAGTGCTCACACAAACAATTGCTATGAAAGTATTTATAGAAAAGACAGAGGGAGGCAACCTTACGGTGCGGTGGCAAAGTGACTGAAAACGAGCAGCCAGATCAGGACCAGTAATATTGCAGATTCTTCTTTGGATTTTATCAAGGATCTCAAGATAAATAGCAAGGACACTTGACGATATGGGTCAGGAAATATTGTAAGCATGGGCAAATAGTACACTTATAGATATGTAAGATAGATAATGGAAAGAAAATTGTCTCGCCTGGCATAGTGAACCGACTTTCTTAGCAGGTAACCTAGCAATGGATTCAATATAGGCTTTCTACTTTGTATCAACAGAGAACCTGAGCCCGAGAATGTGCAATGGATCACTTTCATGGAGGTTAGCATCAGCCTTGCTGATGGAAGGCAGAAATGCACATGCTGATCTAAAAAATAACCAATAATCTTTTGTTAGCTGTGGCAAATAATGGCTTGATAAATCTAATGCCTCTAAAACCAAACTTCTCTCCATTAATCATCTAAGAAACCCCGCTCTGACTTCCATCAGTATGGCTGATGCTAACCTCCAGGAAAGTGATTCGTTGCGCTTTCTCGAGCTATCATTCGCCGTTGCTAAGAATGTTGGTTCACAGGGTCGTGCTAGACATTTTCTTCTCAACAAGAATCTATCTAACATATCTATGTCTGTGATTCGTCTATGCTTTGAATATTGCATCCACATGTGATCTGGTGCTCCTGCTCTATATTTAGAGAATCTTGACAAAAGCCAAAGAAGAATCTGCAATGTTATTGGTCCTGACCGGGTATCTCGGCTTCAATCACTTTCCCACCACCGTAATGCAGTTTCCTTGTGCCTTTTCTATAAATACTTTTATGGTAATTGTCTTGATGAACTTTCCGCAATTGTATCTAGACTTTATTAATTTAAGCACTGTACTAGATTGGCAACAATGTCTTATCAATTTAAAGTTGAATTGGCTAAATGCAACCGTAAGTTCTATGCTAACTGTTTCTTCTTTCGCACTTCTAGCATGTGTAGCTCTCTTTTGGCTTTATGCTTCCCAACCAAATTTAAATACAACGGCCATCGTTTTCTACTCTCTTCTTGATTCCTCTTCTTTTTTTTTTTTTTGCTCTTTCATGATGTTTCATTTTTTTTTTTATTCGTTCGCCCCTTGCGACTTAGTGGCCTTACTGCCTTGCTTGGGGTGAAATGATTAAAAAAATATGCCACAGTGTTGATAGCAGACAAAGAAAGAGAACGACAAAAACTGCTACAGAATGTTGTAAAGGAAAGAGAGAAGAAAAGACTAAACATCAAGTCAGCCAAGAGGAACAGCCCAAGATGCGAACTACGATTCGGCGACACCAATATCGAGCAGATACGAAATTTTAAATACCTAGGAAATGTTTTAACAGAGAAATAAAATTCCGAAGATGTCTTCCAAAAGCAAAGCAGACTATTAAGAAAGAAGAAGATTTCGTTAGAAACAAAAAAAAAAAGAGTGCTGAACACGTATCCAATAACGGCACTGAATGCTGGACAATTTTCTATCAGATGAAGAACAGACTTGTGGCAACAGAAATGTGTTCTACAGAAGGACGCTGAGAATACCACAGGCGGTATATGTGAGCAGCAAAGAATTTTTAATGAAAATAGAAACAAGGACGCATATACTTAGAAAGAGACAATTGAAATATCTCGGAAAAATGATAAGGAAAGGTTTAGAGAAGTTGACACGAAGGACATATTAACGGCAAGAGGAAGAGAAGAAATCAGTGAATGACCAACAAACCTGCGAATGATTGACAAAACAGGGATTAAGAGGAGTAGCAAAAAAGAAAAAAAAAAGAAGCTTTACTAAGAGCTACAAAGGACAGGAGGTTGTGGAGGGCTATGATGATCACGTCGTGAAGAGACACGGTATAGAGAAGATGGAAATTTATCCAATCAGATTAAAGAATCTATTCGAGATACGTGTTTCTTCGACACAGGTTTATGTCTTCCTTCTCTGTTTCCAGGATTCAGCTTTGAAAGAATGCTTCAGCAACCGAAAGAACACAGTATAAGTCCGAATCTCACCATGCCAAGCTGGCAAGAAATATCGACCACAAGCCAGAAACCTTATCTCTCCTTCCTTCTTCAGACTCCCAAAAGCTTGAGAGTATCTCGTTTCGATTTCAGATCGATATCTTATTCGTTCGTCTCCTGAAGGGTTAGAGATTAAAGACAAGGTCAAAGTGACAGACATCGCGGTACCTTAAGCATATTTCAAACGCAAAGTGGCTCGTGCAGATTCTCACACCGGAATCGGAATGAATGTTCTCTGGAATTCTGAGATTAAATATTGTCTTTATTCTATGACTTATCAGGAATGCTTCGATAACTACCAGTTGGCAGGTCAGTTTTTCGGCCTTCCTCGGTTATATAACATATGCATTAATGATTGATTTTGGGGGGGGGATCTGACGAAATGGCAAACATATCACAATGAGATGATTATTTTTGACATTTTCGCTGATCAAACAGCTAAATTTGAAAAATAGATTTTTATTTCATCCAAACCGATACTGGCGAGACAGTACGATAAAAAAATCCAGTTGAATTCTCATTCAAATTCCAATTATTAATGCATATGCTACATTACCGTGGAAGGCCGAAAACGCATCTGCTAAATGGTAGCTGTCGAAGCATTCTTGATAGACAACATCCATTATTAATTTCATTTTTAATTTAATTCTTAAAAAATACTAAAAGAACAAAGCAGAGACCGTCCTGGGTAAGGCGATGAATTACATCCGTGTCCTGCGTGAGGCGAGAAGCTACTTACGACCGTAAGGCCTCTGTTCATGAAGTTTTGAGGAGCGTAGAACCACCTCTTAATTGCTAGTGTTAGCACCTGTCAGGCTCCCATCTATGGGTAAATAGTTAACACCCCCCCAAACTAGTATCAAAACTTATGAAAGTGTAAAAACAGGTTTTAATGCCAGAAATACTTTGTAAAAAATATTACCAGCAATAAAAAAAAAATTATTACCAGCAGTACATTATTACCAGCAATACATTTCTTAAAAAAGAATATTACCAGCTATCTATTTTTGAAAAAAAAATACCAGTTTTACACTTAAAAAAATATTACCAGCTATACATTTTTGGAAAAATATTACCAGCTATACATTTTTGGAAAAATATTACCAGCTATAGATTTTTGAAGAAAAACTATTACCAGCAATAAATTTTTGAAAAAAAAAAAAATTACCAGCAATATGTTTAAAAAAAAAAAGCATTACCATCCATTCATTTTTGAAAAAAAAAAATACCAATATGCCGTAAAACAAACCAAACAAATATATGCTGAGATAGATAGATAGATAGATAGATAGATAGATAGATAGATAGATAGATAGATAGATAAAAAATATTAGCAGCAATAAAAATCATGCCGGCATTAAATAACCCATTCTGGTTGATATGCCGTAAAACAAATCAAACCAAACAAAGCCCGAATTAAAAACTAAGCTTAATCCGACCAAATGGCAAAGATGTAAGACAATTTGGAAAACTATTATTTTTGATAAGTTTCACTGACCAGTTTCAGCGGAAAAATATATTTTCTTTCAACGAAATCTACATTGGCGGGAGAGAACGTGATTTACGTTAAGCATATGATCGCCGGATTATTTTTTTTCGTTCTGTCTCGCTGATGTCGATTTGGTTAAATCAGGTAATGTGGAAAAATCCTATATTCCGATTTGAAGCAGCAAAGAACGAAACGAGAGAAAATAGCCACTAAGCATGGGAAGCGAACACTGAGATTCGGAGGCGTATTGGGATAGCCAAAGATGCCTTCCAAAAGCTAAGCACAGTACTAAGAAAAAGAAAAAAAATGCTAGAAACAAGAAAAAGTGTACTGAACTGTTACGTGATATATGTCATCCTCTATGCCAGTGATTGCTGGACAATCTCCTCAAAAATGAACAAGTGACTTCAAGCAACAGAAATCTGGTTCTACAGAACGATGCTGGGGATACTGTAGAACGAGTATATAAGCAACGGCGAAGTTTTAGAAAAAAATTTAAACAAAAAGAATCTAATCAGGAAGAGACAGTTGAGCTTTCTTGGGCACATAATGAGGAAGGAGGGCTTGGAAAATCTGATACTCAAAGGACAAATAATGAGACAGAGGAAATCAACGCACGACATCGATGGTGGAAGAGGGTTTAGGATAAATAACAGAAACACAAAGTTTATTAAGAGCTATAAGGGGTAGGAAGTTGAGGAGAGACATGATCGCCTACGTCCTGGGGAGACGCAACACATAAAGAAGACAAACATAAATATTTATCTAAATAGTTTTATATATTTACCAGTTACCGTATTTTCCGGCTTAGAAGACGCTGCGGCTTGGAAAACGCACCATAATATTGGAAAGAAATTTCTAAGAAAAAAAATCATTCTCATACAACACATTCACCATACGTCCCTCACATACTGTCGTCACGTATAGTTTTCATTAATCACTCATCCGATTTTGTGTGTGTGGCAATGATATACTAGTCAAGAGCAGAAAGGCTCCCGCCGCTGCTAGTAAACAGAGCATGTTTAAGTTTGTGGCTCGGCTCCAGGAAGGTTTATAGTCTTGGAAATACTTATAACAGCTACGTACTGAGGTTACATCATATAAAAGGCTGAATTAGATAGCTAACATTATAGTGTAATGACTCAGCATACAAATCCACATCCCTATCAGTCAATCCATTTAGGTGACCATCCAAGCTTACTTTGTGCCTGGGCGTTGCCTTACATTTGTCTTGAAAGACGCACACGTATTTTTCAGCGTATTTTTTATGAAAAAAGTGCATCTTGTAAGCTGGAAAATATGGTATTACAAACATTACTACAATTACTACAAACATTTTAGTTCCTATTCCAGTTTTATTTTTATTTTCTTAATCAAATTAATAATGAAATTAATAATGGATATCGTCTTGATTTCTGAGACGAAATATTGTCTTTATTCAGTGACCTATCAGGTATAAATACTACTTAGCAGATGCGTTTTTCGACCTTCCTCAGTTATATAGCATATCTGTTAAGGATTGAAATTTGCATGAGAGTCTGACAGAATGGCAAACATAAAACAATTTGAAAAACTTTTATTTTTCATACATTTCACTGGTAAAACAGCTTCACCAGAAAACATAATTTTTATACTAATAAAAGAAATAATGTTGGAGAAAAAAAATCCTATCAAATGTTACTAATGTTTACGTTTCAGGGCCGAAACTGAAGCTAGCAGATATAAATTCGTAAAAAGTCCCAAGAAATATGCATTAAACTGTAAATAAAATCTTGCTCTATAAAGGCAGCCTTCGTGGCCAAATTGGTGAAGCACGTTATGAAAACTGTTTCTCCGAGGCAAAGATGTCGATTAAAATTATCGAAAAGACTGGGCTCTTCAGGACAACTCTGAATTGAAAAGCGGTGACTCTAGCAATTCTATCCTACATACTCCAGAGACCAGAAAAGTAATGTATGTCCCGTAGCCTCCTTACTCTTCACTGGAGTCTACGGAAGTGGATTGAGGGAGAGCTATACTCGGGTTTAAAATGAAATATATAAATCAAAGTTGTCTGTCGATTGTATAGATTGGTGTGTTATGGTGTTGCTGTGCGAGGTTCAATTATAGCAGTGTCGTAACCCACAAAGTAAGAATGAAGACCTTTGTCAGGACTGTTATAACAACATAAATAAATAAAAAATCATTTCACGCAAAGCAAGGCAATAAAGCCACTAAGACGCAAGGGTTTACCGAGTGTTAAAGAATATGAGATAAAAACACTATTAAAGAGAGTGAACAATAAAAGAACACGAATTAAGAAAAAAGAAGATAAGGACTGGCATTGTACTTAAATTTTTGACTGGGAAGCAACGAACCGGAAAAGAGTTACAGAAGTGAAAAGTGCGATAGAAGAAACTGTTAACATAGAACTTACGGTTACATCTAGCTGTAAAACTGTAAAATAATGAGACCTTGCCACCAATCTAGTACTGCACTTAAATTCATAAAGTCTATGTACCATAGTGAAAAGAAGAATTAGAATGAAATTATTTAAAGGAAAGGCATAGGAAAGCTACATTATGGTGGTAGGAAAGTGACTGAAGCCAAGATGCCAATAAGTGAATCTTATACAAGAGAAGAAACTGTTAGCATAGAACTTACGGTTACATCTAGCCATTTCAAGTGTAAAATGATGAGACCTTGCCACCAATCTAGTACTGCACTTAAATTCATAAAGTCTGTACCATAGTGAAAAAGAAGAATTAGTATGAAATTATTTAAAAAGAAAAAAGGAAAGCTACATTATGGTGGTAGGAAAGTGACTGAAGCCGAGATGCCAATAAGTGAATCTTATGGGAGAGAAGAAACTGTTAGCATAGAACTTACGGTTACATCTAGCTATTTCAACTCTAAAATGATGAGACCTTGCCACCAATCTAGTACTGCACTTAAATTCATAAAGTCTATGTACCATAGTGAAAAGAAGAATTAGTATGAAATTATTTAAAGGAAAGGCAAAAGGAAAGCTACATTATGGTGGTAGGAAAGGACTGAAGCCGAGATGCCAATAAGTGAATCTTATGAGAGAAGAAACTGTTAACATAGAACTTACGGTTACATCTAGCCATTTCAAGTGTAAAATGATGAGACCTTGCCACCAATCTAGTACTGCACTTAAATTCATAAAGTCTATGTACCATAGTGAAAAGAAGAATTAGTATGAAATTATTTAAAGGAAAGGCAAAGGAAAGCTACATTATGGTGGTAGGAAAGTGACTGGAAGCCGAGATGCCAATAAGGAATCTTATGTGAGAGAAGAAACTGTTAACATAGAACTTACGGTTACATCTAGCCATTTCAAGTGTAAACTGATGAGACCTTACCACCAATCTAGTACTGCACTTAAATTCATAAAAGTCTATGTACCATAGAGTGAAAGAAGAATTAGTATGAAATTATTTAAAGGAAAGGCAAAGGAACAGCTACATTATGGTGGTAGGAAAGTGACTGAAGCCGAGATGCCAATAATGAATCTTATGTGAGAGAAGAAACTGTTAACATAGAACTTACGGTTACATCTAGCCATTTCAAGTGTAAAATGATGAGACCTTGCCACCAATCTAGTACTTCACTTAAATTCATAAAGTCTATGTACCATAGTGAAAAGAAGAATTAATATGAAATTATTTAAAGGAAAGGCACAGGAAAGCTACATTATGGTGGTAGGAAAGTGACTGAAGCCGAGATGCCAATAAGTGAATCTTATGTGAGAGAAGAAACTGTTATCATAGAACTTACGGTTACATCTAGCCATTTCAACTGTAAAATGATGAGACCTAAGCGCCAATCTAGTACACCGCTTAAATTCGTAAACTCTAGGTACAATAGAAGAAAGTTCATTAGAACGATTAGCATGGAAATATTTATAGAAATGGTACAAGGAAGAAGTTTATGTAAAATAAATCTTCATAGATTTTTACAGACCGAAATCATATATATATAAATAAATGTACGTGTAAGTGTTCAAATACACACACACACACACACACATATCCTTGCGTGTAAGAAAAACAGTGCTCAATGCAAAATAACAGAGCTATTAATTATATATTAATAAATATAGATGACAGTAAGACTCCGTTTCATGCATGAAACTCCGACTTGTACTGTCGTGAGTATTATATTATATATTTATCAATTTTTACACACACACACACACACACATATATATATATATATATGTGTGTGTGTGTGTGTGTGTGTGTGTGTGTGTGTGTGTTTAAAACGTATATTTAATATCTAAAAAGGTTATTTTTAATGGGTACTCATATTTGAGTAGATGCTCTGCTTGTTTATTTCGTCTGCCGGCTCGCATACTTGTGAAAACTTAATCAAATGACTCCCCCCCATGCAAGATGTCCTCCTTTGCAGGAGAAACCCCCGTCTAATATAGCGTTTCATTGATCGGGCGACTACGGAGAACTTCACAGTCATCTTCACAGTTCTATTCGCCTTAGAGCACATTCACTCCTTCAGAATAGTCATAACTACTTAATTCCAAATCCGAAACGTGAACAAAGCAATTTCTAAAGAATTAATGGATTTTATTTTTAATCCGATATATTTATAATACTGTACCGTCTTGTGCTGATTAAACAACTCCTTTATTTCTTTTCTTTCACCATACGGTCAGGATGTAATCGATTTCTATTTTTTCCTCAGATTAGGTCATTTGTAGTGGTGTGCTGTAATAGGAATCTATTTTCGGGGTGTGTGATGAAATTTGTTTGGCGTTGAAAAATACTGCTTCATCTGTGATTGCATCAGACTTTTATCATGCACAAACACTATTGTCTCAACTGTCGATTAGTTGTCCTACGGCCATTGTCTGCGATGGACG